GGAAATGTTTTTATCAATCTAAACATGAACGCAAGAGCTTCCAGGCAGAGCAGACGAAAACTTGATGATTCCCAGTGTTTCCCCATTTGGAAAATCTTGGGAAAAGCTTGTTGGTATATCATCTTTAAAAAATGTGCTCACATCTCTCATACATCATCAAAATGAAAGTGAATAAACACTTGCTGAGGTGCTTTTTTGGAAAATTGCAAGACTCCTGACATAAACAATTACGAGAGCATATACAGACACTTACAGATGTTTTAAATTATACTTTCTTCTGGCACAGGTTCATTATTTCTAGTTCTGTACCTTTTCTGTTTGCTGCATTTGCACCAGTGTTGTGTCTTGGTTCATCACAAGCTCAGAGTTGCCTTCAGTGAGAGCTGCTTCTTTAACTCACTGAAGAAAACTAGAAGATCCTGAGGAATATCTCTTTTACATTTCACCTATTTGTCATATGTAGCCGTGGCTAATTAAAATGAGCCTACTTGCCAGAGTCAGTGGATGGTTCACTGATCAGTAGAGTTCCTTTCATCTTTGCGTCAACGGCTTTATAAGTGCTTTTCCAGCAATCAGTATAATATACAAATCATCAGCAGCCCTTTGGCCACCCAGGTTTCACTTTCTGTTCATATCTCCTCTTCTTCTTTCTTCTTCTTCCTCTCTCTCTCTCTTTCTCACCCCTCCCCCCTCTCTCTCTCTCTCAATGTTGCCATCTTTCCTATATATACCATCAGCTATGCCCTGCAGTTTGACAAGGTTGTCATAAAAATATAATAATAAAATATTTAGTTGTGTCCTGGGTATTGTCCTGTAAAGCTACATGACTAAACATGAGATAATTTTTTCCAGACCCAGAATTTTTTCCCCCCCATTTGGCTTATTTATTTTTCTGTGGTTTTGGGAGGTTGTGACTGAAAGTCTGATGATATGTGTGTATTCCTCTTATTACCCCTCCCCTCATTACTCCTCTCCACATTTCTGCTTTCCTCTCGATTTATATGCAAAAGGTATAGGGATAAAAACACTTATTTTTTAGCTTGTTGTTCCACTGTAAATCACTGTGTTCAACATATATGTGTATGCTCATATGATTTGGCCTGAGTCTTTCAATATTAGCTTTGTCTCTGCAGATGATGTTACTATAATAACAATAGATAAAATAGCTGCACACTGTTAAGATTAAAATTATTTTGTAACCTTTTGTCCTTTTCCTGGTGCTTTGGGTGTAGGAGTTACAGTTCTGGTCTGAACACTGTCTAGACGCCTATGAGCCTCCCATTACCTCCTGATTACACTGAGCCCTATTAATCTCACTGGGCAGAGAAGCAAGCACACACGCACACACACACACACACACACACACACACACACACACACACACAGACACACACACACAAATTCAAAATAAACTAAAAAGATTTGTGGAAAATTATGAATTACAATGTTATTTATACAAAAACATTTAATGATTGCTAGACATGAACAATGTGAATGTGTCAACATATAATATAAACGTGATGTATTATGTGTGTGCATAAGATAGCATAAAATAGCTGTAGCTAGTAAAAGTTATAAACTATTAGCAGTAAAATGTACTTGTTAAAGTACTCTTTCTAATGGTGGATGCCTATGATAGTATAACTTACTGAGTGATAAGCAATGTGTACCTGGTAATAATGGAGTTTGCAGAGAAATATTAGAAAAAATAACTGCAATGAATATACTCTGAGCACAACTTACTATACAACTAAAACTTTTGGGAAAATGTAGTATTAGAAGGGTTACACATTTTTGGTTGAATATCTTCAAATAAAAATAATTGTCATTAAAAATAAAAGAAGTTTACTTGTGGGATTCCTCAAGGCTCTTTGTTAGGCCCAGCTTTTTATTTATTTTGTACATAAATGATATATGTATTGTAATCAAATTCTTAATTAACATGTATTTAATTCATAACAACTTTTTGGTAGATGTTGTTACCTTTGGACAGAGCTGGGCTAACTTTTTCCCCCTATTTCAAGTCTTCATGCTAAGCTAAGCTAATCAGTTGCTGGCTGTGGCTCCTTATTTAAGATATTAGTGTGCTTCACTAAACGTTCTTGTCAAATGGTCAAAAAAGAGAGACTGTTTGAAATTCTTTTGTCTCCCCCTTATTATTACAACGCGGTTGGACAACACATACAAACGTACGTATATTGTTCTGTAACATAAACAGGCACTTAAAAAAAGCTCATCTGAAGATTTAGTACCTGAAACTTGTATCTATGTAGGCTAAAGTCCTTTAGAAATGTATTTTGTTACTTTCTACCTCTGTCCACCTGCAGAATGTGACACACACAGAAAAGGTCAGATGACCAAACCATTCAGTGATCACTACACTTAGCTGGAGGAAACACAATCCTCTTATCTGATCTTATTTAATCAAGTTGTTTTATTAACATGCTCACTGATGACTCCCTGAGGTATGTAAAAGATAATAGGCATTGAAATGAACACAAACACAATTCCCTTGCGCAAAATGGTGTCACAAGACACACCCATCTTTCGTCACCAGGGTTACTGAGGGCAGGACGGTGGGTGTCGGGTACCAAGGAAACAAACTAACTATGGGAATCCAACTCACAAACCAAAACTAATGTTTACTTTTGGGGTTATTAGTGTGTGCGCATGTGCACTTGCATACGTGTGCGTGTGTGGGGACACTGATGTCTTGGGAAAGAGTTTAACTTGAGCCCGTCTGACTCTGTGTCAGCACGGGCTATTTGCTTACCTGAGGGAGCATAAAAAACAGAGATGCAAAGCAGAAGCGCCAAAAAATCTCTCAGAAATACCTTTGAAAATGCCATAAAGGGATTTCATGGATGTCAGTAGGCCTGTGAGAGATGGGCTTTGAGACAACTCAGCCCTGGCTGGGCCGTGTTGGGAGGATATATGACCAAAGTTGCACAGCTCTGACTGGTGGAACACTTAAGGTTTTATGACCTGCTGCCATTTGGGGCTCTGGGATAGAGCAGAGTGCCGACCACATAACTAATTAGGCCTGGCCAACGGGGGTGTGCAAGGATGGGGATTTGAGGGTTGTGGCTTGTGGATGTGGTGTGTCTGCATGAGTGAACGAGCGAGTTAGCCAGTGAGTGTTTGGCATGGGTCGTTGTGTGCGTGTGTGTGTCCTGAACCTGGAACATTGCGTCAGGGAGCCGTTTGTTCTCCATAAAGACTTCAGGGGCTCTTTCATGTAGGAGCTGTCGGGCCTGGAAACTTTGACACAAGAGATAGAGAGAAACAGCCAATCCTCATACACATTAACATGCACACACTCACACACACACACACACACAGACCACTCCTTGGGAGACTGTACGAGGCACACAGAGGTGTATGAAAAGACGGTCTGACCTGCTGAACAATAACAACACTCCTCCTATTGTCTCATCTCTCTCTCCATTTTGGAGGATCATGCAGATAATGACCGTGCCTAGATACAGGGAGAGTCCACTGGCGGGGAGGGTGGTGGTGGTGGGATCAGAAGTGGAATGTGTGTGAACTGCACACCGCCTCCTATAAATCAGGGAGAAAAGTAGGAGGAAGAGGAGGAGGAGGTAAAGCAGGATGGGGGAAGAGGTGGAGTCAGCATGAGGGAGTGATAGGAGGAATGACAAGATAAATGAGTGGTGATAGAGGGAGGGGGTACAGGTGCAAGAGAGGTACACACAAGCTGGGTTTGAATCAGGCAGAAGGGAAGGTCATAGGAGGACAAACAGTAAACTATTTCAAGTCCTTTTTTCAGATCACCATTTATAAATATCTTTATCTTAATATAACTTTTAAGTGTTTTGTGTATTTGTACAGTCGAAACAGCGGAGGCTGCACAATTGGAGGCCATTCAGAGGATTCTGGGCAAACTGCAAGAGATTTGTAATGACTATGTGATTACAAGTACATTGGATTGTCAAAAAAGTTTTAATTACAGATAGTGTTGTAGTACTCGAGACCAGTCTTGGTCTTAAGATCCCTTTTTGATGGCCTTGGTCTTGTCTCAGACTCGACTGCATTTGCACTCGGTCTTGTCTCGGTCTCGGACATTGTGGACTCTGGATTTTATGTCAATTTCAGCTCTTAGTGTTTGTACGTGGGAGTTTTAATGGGAATGTGGATCTTTCAGATCAATTTGAGAAGTACCTATGATCTCATTCCACATTTTATTGCGTGCCATGCAATGCAGGGAATTGGTCTTGGTCTTGACTCGGTCTTGCCCTCCCTCGGCCGTGGTCTCGACTGCTCTCAGTCCCTAAAAGTCTTGGTCTTGTCGCGGTCTCAATAAGCTCTGGTCTTGGTCTTGACTACAACACTAATTACAGATAATGTTCCTCTGCCGAAGGCTACAATCTGGGTAACATTAGCTTGACGCAGGTTTAAGAGTTAATTTCTATGCTCAAATCTTACTTCAGTACCACTTTGCAATAGGCACACTTTATAAGGTTTTATACATTGTAATTATATATTTATAAATGATTAATAAGTAAATTAGTAATACTTTAGATTAGATAAGCCACTACTAAGAACTAAATATAAAATCTGAACAGAGGCAGGCCAGCTGTTTCTAGTCTTTATACTAAGCTAACTGGCGGTAGCTTCATATGGTCCAGATGTGAATCTTCTCATATACAATGAATAAATGATTTCCCAAAGTAATGCGTTTCATAAATACTTAATGAAATACTTTATCACTTTCAAATAAGCCTTAAATTCTGCAGTTATAAATGTTAATAAGTCATCATCAAAAGGCTTTTAATTGTAAAGCACAGACGTATGTGATCAGGTGTGACAGGTTAAGATGAGCCAAGTTAATTGCACCTCCTTATCTGTCCTCTTTAGGCAGCTTCTGATAAGCTCTCCAACTCTTAGCACCTCACAGCTCTTGCAACTCTCCACTGAAAGGCGGGGAGGATTTGTATGTGTGTGTGTTGGGGGGGGGGTTAAAGAAAACACAGGAGATCTTTAGGCTGTCTCTCAGCACTTTATCACTTGACACCCATTGGTCAGCATAAAAGAGTTTGTTGTAGGTGGGAATTTGCCACGAAAAAATAGAAATCTTCATATTAATAATCATTACAGGGATATATTTTCCAAATAATGAAAATCAAAGCAATGTTGTAGATGTTCAAACTACAGGGTTTCACAGGTCCCCTTCATTTTCAAAAATAGGTTTGACTATGTGATCAAAGGGTAAACATTTCAAAATATAGAGCTCTTTAATTGGGATGAGACAACACACCTACATGTGGAAAACTGTCAACGCAGAACTGAAGGATGACAGGATAACTCATGACTGCACTGTTTTTCCCACTGTGCATGATGCACTTCTAGGATGCTGAGTGAATATTGCAAATATTTGGTAGTAAACATACAATCTCCTTCTATTCCAGTAATTATTAAGACAGCCCTTTCAAAGACTGCAGAGGCACACAAGGCAAGAGAAGAGAGACATTTCTTATATTACATCCTCCTTCAGCATCCAGGCAAGAGGAAATGTACTACAGTATGTAGAGAGTTAATATCAATTCATCTTTGTCCCATTTGGTTCCATAAATTCAAAGCAAAAACCTGGCCTTCTTAGTCTCAGCAACACGTTTAATATGTGAAGTTGACAGGGTTTCACATGTTTTTGTGTCCCCGTGTGGATGTAAGAAGAAGTTTTGCTCCACCGTCAGGCAGTGGAAGGAAACTGCAGTTCAATGAGGTCCTGATCTGTTGAGTCTGCTTTTATCCTCTCATGCGCTTTTCCACAAAATTCATGTGACCAGTAAAAAGACTCCTTTTGCAAGTCTGACCCTCTGTATAAATGATTTTAGACTAGCTCAGTAGAATGCACCAGAAATCCTGCTTACTAAAAATTGTAGGGTAAAGGGTAATTCCTGGGCCCTATTTTTTATAAAAGGTTTTGGAATCGGTCCAATAGATCGCCTCAACAGGCAGCTGTGAAACAAGCTGCAATGGCTGCAACAAAATCCTTGGGGGCAATGCACACTGAAAAAAAATTAATTTGTTGTTGGCACAGACAGGCTCAGAATGTTTTTCAAAGTGTCTGACAACATTAATGAACAGATTCCTACAGAGATGGACCTTTTTTGTTTAACCAGAAACAGAAGTCTTGCGAGAGTTCTTCTTACTCTTTAACAAAAAGATACATCTCAGTAGGGATGTTATCAGACACGTAGAAAAACAATCAAGCACATCAGTGGACCTACTTTTGACGGGAGCAATGGCACCAAAAGAAAACATTGCACCCCGTGCTGCACAAATTGCGGCTGCCTGCTGAGACGACATGCTGGCCCAAATTCCAAAACTTTTAGTCATATAGACCCCAAAATATGTCAATATAGAGCCCAGGTTTAAGTATAGCAGAATTACCCCTAAAGGCACATCAGTAGATTCCTCCTGAACCATTCTTGTTATGAATGTTGTATCCCTTCAATTATTATACAGAATATGATCAACCTTTCAGGCAAACTGCTCAATGCCACTTTTCCTCTTCTTCTTGGATTTGGGTGGTTCAGGATCCTCAATAAAACTAGATATGACATCTTTACCAGTTTCGTGTTTTCTCTTTTTGCTTGGCTGGTCACTAAGGTAACCGCTGGAGTCACTGCCGTTGACGCCCATGGGAGAGACCTCAACCTCTTCCTCCTCTTCTTTCAGGTGTTTTTCCTTTTTCTTCTTCTTCTTCTTCTTTTTTTCAAGAGCTTCATCGCCATTTGCTTCAACCATTGTTCCGTTCAGCTCTGGTGTTGTGCTGCCATCCAAGTGGCAGGAGGGGGTACTTGTGACCTCCTCTTCTGTCTCCTCCTCTTTGACTTTGTCCTTCTTTTTCTTCTTCTTTTTCTTGGGTGTGTCGACAGGAGACTCCTCAGTGGGTTCTAGGTTTGGTTCGGTTTCTGGTAGTTCTGGCTCGTCTGTGGGGACGCCGGACTCTAAGCTCTCACCCATAGCCAGCAGCTCCTGCACCCTGAGAGACAACACACACAGACACAACAGAAGTCAATCACGAGTTAAACCACACTTTGAAAATGTCCTTTCGAAATTATTTATACAACCAAGTAGGGCTGACCCCGAATAGTCGAAGATTCGATGCTTCGATGGGCGGAGCGTGATTCGACTGTCAATCTCACAGTCGAAGCTTTGCAGCGAAACAAGGATCATGCCATTTTGGCGATATGGGAGTGCTCAAAGTCTGATTTTACATAATACTACCAGTTTTCTCCCAATAAGTTAATCTACAGCCTATTACACATTTCAACATTTAATGTTGTAAATAAACATGTAAAAAGAAACAAACTTTCAATAAATGTTTATAAAGTGTGTGAATAAATCCAGAATTGTCACCCTAACCCTGGGTCGTCAGTGCGCATGTGTAGGCGTAGCGTGTATGTGTGGAGTGGCAGGAATACTTGCTGAAGAGACCGAGCCCCGGCTTCATTGGTGTTATTTTTACAAGGTACTGAGTAAAACAAACTGTATGAAGATTATTATTTAGTATCAGTAGCTGCAAACTCTGGGTAGACAATTTATGATGATGAACTGTTCACTGCTGTCATTTTGCTAAAGCTGATGTTGGCTTGATTTGGACAAGCTAACATTCTGTAGCTCACTAACAACAACCAAAAACAGTTTGCATCAAAAAAATGTGCTCAAGAACGTTCCTGCATCAAGCGCAGGTGTGTTTATAATTTGCCCAGGTGGAGCAAGGACCTCTCCCTGCAAATAAAAATCTAGCTGGTTCTACACAAGTCATGCGAGTGCCACATTTTTCAATCAAAACAACAAATTCCCCTGAAAAGTGAGGAGTCTGAGGCTATTAGGGGTGGGGGAAAAAAATCGATTCTTAGATGCATTGCGGTGCGTACATGGAAGATTCTGACTCGATTAACAAATGTCAAAAATCGATTATTTAAATATTAATTGATAACGCAAAGTTGACAGAATGCAAAAGGCGCCCGGACCGTCTGTAGCGCACATAACAAAGAGACCAGTGTTGCCCCTGTATCTGGCACACCACCATTGAGGAATGAATAACCACCTTACTAAAAGGTCACACAGTCATTAATTTCTATGCCCAAGTAATGATTTTAACTCGCACATTGTGTGAGCATGGTGGCACTCAATGCTTGGCGACCTCTCTGTGTATCCTGAGTGTGGCTGAGCGAATGAGAGAGAGTGAACGAGCGTTAGAACATGTGAAAGTTAGCGGAGAAAAATATTAGCCGTAAGTTTCTGGTAGTAGACGTGCAGCGTAGGTCACCGTGTGCGTCCGTTAAGGAATGCCTGTAAGGTTAGTTTTCCCAACTGCTGGAAAAGTGAAGCTAACATCTCCCCTGTACAGCACGTTTTTTGTAATGTTAGCTAAATTAGTAACGAATTAATATTAATTAGCTCAGCTGTATGTCATTACTAACTTACCTACTTGTCAAGTGTTGAGAACATCAGGTACAAGCTTAAATTAAACTGGTGTACAGCTCTGTCATGTGCTGTACATCCTGATAATTAACTTTATATTTCAGTTTTCAGAGGAGCCTGACAGCTGGCTGTTAAAGAAATGACCATGGAGATGAGGTTAATGAAGTAAATTAGGGACGCAAACTAGTACTTTGAAATTAGATGTTTCTTTTGGATTTTAATGTGCAAATTAAATGGTTAGTAATTATCCAGCGATCCTGTAAAGGAAAAAATTATGCATCGATAATCGTTTTATAATCGCATCGCAGCCCTCTGAATCGTAATGGAATCGTGAGGTGCCCAGAGATTCCCACCCCTAGCGGCTATGTAAGGCAAAAGCACCCAGGTTAGGATTTTGCCCCTATTCCCCCTCCAACCACCCCGCCGCAAACTTGCCTAGTCCTATCCAGTCGTCCTCTGATCAGCAGAACTCCCACAGCGTCAGCGTCAAGCGCAGTCACCTCAAACACGATCTCTGCTCCAATTCTGGGCCCTGCGTCCCGCCAGGTTTCCATAGGAACCAGGTTGGGTTTGGGGATGCTGGCGTTGAAGCAGCCGTGCACCAGGCAGCCCACATGGCTTGGTCCTAGTTTATTCACCTTTCCCTGGGAACAGAAACACAGTAACAAAATAACATGCATAAAAGTGGGCCAGACGTGAAGGTTTTCTTCAGATTTTCTTGGTTTGCATGGGGCTGTTTTTTTGCCAGACATACTGCCACACTTTCCCAAATATCCTCCCACAATTCATTTACAGTTATGGCTGGACGATATGGCCAAAAATGTTATCATGATAAAGATTTTCATATCTTTCGATATCGATAATTATCACGATAAGTATCAAATCGTTATTTCTTTTGAGTTTAAAGGCTGATTTTTGCTCCTGAGTGGAAGTTGAAGAAACCTTATGGTTAATTGTGGTTTAAACTCTAAATTATGGTCAACACTAGATGCTTAACAGTGGATCACTTCACAAATCTGAGTTAGAACATAATTATGATAAAATCTTTGTCAACAAATATGCACGAGTCAAATTAAGTAAAAGCTTTTTTTAGTCCCTTTTCACCCACAAAATAAAAATCATAATTAAAAAAATAAGTCCTAATTTCTGTATAATTCAAGTGAATAAAGTCAAACATTTATTGAATAATTATTGAACATTTTTTTATATTGTTACTGAAAAAAATCACATTGCAATAATTATTGTTATCGTTTTATTGTCCAGCCCTATTTACAGTCTCTCATTTATTGTACATGTTTGTACGAGCAAGGCCAAAACACAAACTGAGAAGTACTGTGAGCTCCTCTGGATCTGCAGAGTGCTTTAAATGTAAAATCTCACCAGCAGTTTCTGTCCTTTTTCGGGCTGAAAGACAACAAAGTTGGCCTCTATGTTCATGTGGATGTAGCCGCTGTCGTCGTAGATGTCTCCGTGCTGGCCCACAATCCTGATGTTGTCATAAGCCAAGGGAACTCCCTTTAGACTGCGAGAGTCAACCAGGTCAAGGAGAATTAGCTTGGTGGGAAGCCAACAGTTTGATTCAGAACAATAATATGATATTGTATACATGTATAGTCCGATGAAACATTCAGGCTCTTAGAAATTCTGACGGGCATACTAGACTATTTGACACAATGAATGATTAATTTAAACCTTAAAAAGATTGTGATTTTTTTTGACAACTCTGACTTCATCGTACTCTCATTGCATCATTACATTAAGGCCACTGTTTCTCAATCTAACTCACTAATGAAAGGCATATATTTTACATCTCTGCCTGTTAGACCCACACTTGGTTAGCTCAACGAGGTGTTAACTAATAAAGCCAATGAATATCTGGTAAACACATAACCACTAGACTACTTCAGTGTTTATTTACAGCCATGCTTACGTCCTGGACCCACTTGTAAAGTAACTGAGCACATTAACCGTCTACTCTTTGCTACTAAGTTACATGTTAGTTAGATATTAGACAGCTTTAATAACTAGTTCTTTAGAAGATCAAAGTTTACATGCAAAACGTATCAGCTTTTTTAAATGATGCATTTGACAAAACAGCTTAAAGTTATAAAAATGACCGTCAGCTTTACATCGACCGGCTGCAACATAAAATGCTGTATAGAAAGTAATGTATGTAACGTAGTGTAACGCTGACAGGGGGCAGTCTGCTGATATAAGTGCATTTTTCAGCTCATACTTGTGAAAAACATTAGTCTTTGAATACAGGACTTTTACTTGTAGTGGAGCATTTTTACCTTGTGGTAACAGGTCTGAATACTTTCTCCAACACTGCCAAATGAATGCCTTGTTTTCAGTTAATTAGCAGGGACATGGAGGTGAAAACTTAGCCGTAACTACAAACCTTGACTGTTTACAAGACAGACGACTGCTACACAGACCTAATGCAGCGAGGCTTAAACCTGCACGATGTTAGAAACGGTTGTTTGGGGGGCATTAATGGTGGTGTTGCGTACTGGCACAACAGAGACGTCGACGGAGATGACAAAAGTTAAGTTAAATAAAGGACAAAATGATGGTGCCTCCTGTGTTGTTACCTCTCGGAGAACTTGAGCAGCTCGGCTTCCAGCTCCTCCTGTATGCCTGTCCTCTTCTTATTCAGGTACACGGGCGGCAGGCCGATGTGTCTCCGGTGCGTGTTCATGACCAGACACGAGTACGGCGCTGACAGCAGCCCGGAGGCGGCTGCGAACGACGGGATAGAGCACGGGACCGCGCCCGCGTATCTGTCCGGTGCAGAGCACACTTCGGCCGGCTGCACTGCAGCACTGTCGGCGGAGACGTCACCAGACATTTTCACATGTTTTGGGTTGTCCTCAGCATGCTCGAGGTTCGCCATGCTGTTTGGCAAGATCGGAAGACCAAAGACAGGCGATTTCCGCTTTGAGGAAAGCTCAACAGCTGTTGAAGCAGTAAAAACAGTTCTTTGTGTTGCCGCCTGTTGGCCAGGAGGTGGAACGACAGTCGAAGAATTAAATAAAATAGTGACAGTCCAGCGTCAAAATTTTACTGAATAAACAATCTCTAATTTTTGATAATTTAAATTACAGTTTTATTTCTATGGTAACACCTTATTTGGATAATCTGTCTACAGGAAGCTTCTAGAGTAATTGTAACATTTCATGTATGACAGATCATCAAAAGAGTAGACTTATATGTGACAATTCATGAACATACCCTAACCAAGATCCTTTTTGTGCCTAAACCTACCCAAGCCGTGGAAACTGTTGTATTTGTGAAACTGCTGAAATTTTAAATCTCAGCTAATAAGCGGCTGAAATGTTACAAATATCCACTGTAGGTGGAGGGTAAACATGCACTAACAAACCACAATAATAACTAACACGACAAGCTGGGTATTGCTTTATTACCTGATTTTAGGCCATGTCTTAAGGGAACCAGTTAAAATCTATATTTAAGACCATTATTTCGGATGATGCTGTGCTTATTTGGTGTAACCAAATTAGAATGTGTTTAATCAGACAGAGAGGAAAGCTGAGTATGTAATATGTAATGTAATATTCCAGCAGTGTGACACTGTACGCTCTGCACAGAGAATGAATAGGAATAGAGGTCCAACAGGGTTAATCTGGCGATGCTCTCAGGACAGAAAATCTATTTACTCGTGTAATAAATCACATTTACAGACTTACAGACACAAAAGCTCTTCTCATAATCTTTAGGACAAAGTGGATTTGAAATGTTCTCAAACTGAAATGTTTGGGACAGTATTTTGATAATTGACATGATCCTTCCGGTCACTGAATCCACTGAAAAACATTTGCCTCACAGACAGGCCCTTCGTTATGTAAACCTTAAGTTGTGTACTGACTAGCCCGGCAAGAGTGCTGTAAAAGCTGTTCATCTTAAAAGACACAGTCATTGATTCTGTATCCTGTTCTTGCCTGCAATGGCACTTTAAGATCATTAGGGTGACCTGAGGTGTCAATTAGTGCAACTAGTGCACATGCACACACACACACACCCACACACGTATAGACACATGCATAAGAAGGATACACTTGCAGACACACAAACCCTAATCTAGTGTTACGGTTTTCTGACAGAGCAGCACCACAGGAGGTCACATGATTCAGCATTTCACACACACACACACACACACACACACACACACACACACACACACACACACACACACACACAGTGCATTGCAGACCTGATGCTTTATACGGCACCACTCCTGCCTGTTGTCCCAGTGATAAATAGTGACGTTGGTTTCTTAGTCAGCAAGCGCCCCCAGCAGCTTCTGCTACTTCTCCCAGTTAGCACACACAAACACACACACACACACACACAGTATGGGGTGCTTTCTGGAGAGGGCAAACACCATAATGAGGTATTGAGCAGCATGATGTTGTCAGAGCAATTGTATATCTTCATTAGAGGTCACAGCTGTGTCTGTGTAAATGCATGTGAGTGTACATGATATTGTTTTTCATTACCGTTTCTGCTTTTGCTATGTGAAGCACTGTATATTTAGAGGGTTTTTTTGAGTAAATCTTACTTAACTTGAGTGTGTGAACCCTGAGCAGAGCCAAAGGCATTACTGAGTTAAGCTGCAGTCCCATAGGAATGCTGGAATGCGCTGCCTTCCTAAATCTTGCTCCACATCGATTATGTTGACAGTGTGGTGCGCAGGTTGCCAATAGATGATATTGTATTGTGTGTGTGCGAATGAATAAACGCAATGCAAATATTACACTAAAGTCCACTGAAACAAACTATGCAAGATAAACAATCAGTCATATTTGTCATAGTTTAACTGAATTCACTTTTATAAGAAGCATTTATAAAAATATGTTTGATTTATAGGTACAGCTAGATTCCTGATATACAAGCATGGATATACAGTACAGTATATTGCGCATCACTGTATTTTCATATCAAAGCATACCATTATCAGACTATACATACAGTTTACTGTAGGCTATCTCAACATTGGCATTCCATAAACCCATAAAAAGACAGAGAGCGAGAATAAGGACATTGAGACTGAAATAGTCATAGCTCTTTAAAACAAGTGAATCAGCTGCATGCTTGGGTTGTGCTCATCACTTTGAGGCATCTGATTGGATAAAATCTCTCCATTAGTTTAAAGGTCAAATGATGTCACGCAGATGTTTGTCACCTGAATTATCACCCAAATGGCAGCTCTCCATGCTGGCTATGGTTTGAGTTGATCAGAGGGGGTTTGAATCCATGTTTGCATAATCATTCAGAAGCACAAAAACGCCTCCCTCTTGTTGTCAAAATGGGCTTCTTATACTACGACGGCAGAGTAAAGGGTTCCAATGCGAGAGACCTGACTTCACTCCCTGCAGTCAGGATATAGTTACTGTGTGTGCGCTGCAGGATATGTAGAAAGAAGTACATGCTGTATTTGTCATCTGATAGCAAGCGGTTTATGAACTGTCTCTATTTCAGTGTGTGCAAGTTCCCTTTGGTGATACGGCGTCACGGCGATGCTGTGGTGTGTCCATTGTAGGCGATCTGAGGAATGCCGTTACTGGAGTTGTCCAAGATCTCCTGTTGGGCGGACACACAAGCACACTTGATAACTTAACATACACCAAACCAAACTTTAAAATCTTCTTAGGTCATGAAACATACAATTTCCTGCAACTGCTGGAGCTAAAGGCCATACTGCTGACCAAGCTGACCAGTGCTGTCATGTCTTACCTTCTCGGTCATCTCATGAGAGTGGTGCAGCGAGTGCTCCCTCTCCAGGAACATCCTCTGCTGCTCCGAGCTGGCCAGGCGACAGGTCAGCCACGTGGATAAGGTACAGGAGGAGATCCCTGGACAAGACAGGAAAAGGCAAACCAGCTGGAGAAACAATGGAAGAATTCTTTATTTTAAAAAGAAGAGCGTGCTTTAGTATTTTATGTGTTTTCAGCCATGTTAGTGACGTGCCTCGAGAATGTTATTCTGTTGGTTGGTCCATCATTTTGGTCCAAACTGAAATGCCTCAACAACTATGGAATGGATTGCAAAAACATTTTGTCCAAACCTTCATAGTCCGAAGAGCATGAATGCTAATGACTTTGGGTTTGCCTCAACTTTTCATCTAGTGCCACCATTAGGAATTAAAATTTTTCTGCTACATTATTTTATGACCAAATACATGCAAAACAGATGACATTCCCATCAGCCTCAGCTGTACTTTGTGCTAGCTGGCAAATGTTAGCATGCAATCATGTTAAACATTATACCTGCTTTAGTATGCTAACATTTGCATTTAGCTCAAAACATAACTGTGCCTATAAGTGCAGAGCCGCTAGTGTGGCTGTAGACTTGTCAAGTCAGAAGAGGAGTGGCAGGAGACACACATTTTAGGGGGAGGACCCTAAGAACGTGTCTGTTGGGATTTGTGGAGGAACATTTGACCATGTCCTGTAATAGAGGTGGAGCTACGATGAGTGTGGTTCACAGTAATAAGATTTGGGATCATTCGCAGTATTGATAGATGACGAATAAGAAGTTTCTTTACCTTTATTTTAAACCTTTGAATACATCTACTCCTCTGAGTGACTTGAGCTAAGACGTATTCTAACAACATTCCTACATTACAGCATACACATGTCACATATTATAGACATTTACAAGTGTGTTCCGTTGTGTTGTGTTGCATCACATTTGTAATTTGTTGTTTACCCAGGCAGGCCAGAGTCATGGCAGCCAGATGGATCGAGTGCATGGAGTCTGGTCTTTTATTCAGCGCCCGAACAAACTGGAAGTTGAGGATCCCACCAATCAGACCACAGATACAGCATGCTGAAAAAAGGATCATCTAAGGGACGGGGACAGAGAAGGGTGGCCCATGTTAACGCACACGGCTGAATTGACACCCTATCAACAAAACCGTAAACAAACTGACAAAATGTGATGTGATGGGAGATATATAAACTACTACTGAGCTTCCATCTCCATCATTCTGCTGCTTTGGACGACAGCTGCTCTGATGAGTAATGTATATCAGTCAAAATAAATCTCATTTCCTATTAGAAAATTGGATTGCTCTCAAAGCACACTGTCTCTTCCAGAAATATTGCACGGCCTGTAAATATGCTTGCATCACTCGCTTGCTGTAATTCTGCTCCTGTGTATGTGTGTGTGCCTGTTAGAGGACTGGTGAGATTTTACTTTCAGTATTTAATCAATCATATTTTACGGATTACTTCCTTAGAATTGTAATATGTAACTGGAAAACCCAGAATGAGAATCTAATTTTTTTTCCCATCAGGAACTCATGGGAACGTGATTGCAGTTCCATTGCTTTGCAATTAGAAATAATAAAATCCAATCATTTCACTTCTACTCCCCGTTTGTTGTGTATGCGTGTGTGTGTGTGTGTGTTGTGTTCAGGTTCTCTTTCATTGTTCCCAGTACAGATGCCTTTAGTGCCTTTAACCACATGGAAACAGGCATCTCCTATTTCAGTCATTAACCGGTGAAGTGTGGAAAGTGGCTGGCAATGGTCCGGAGCCATACCAACTTAACGCAATCATAACCCCACAGGCTGACAAGGAGGGAGGGGATGGAGAGATTCAAAGCATGGAAGCGACTGGAGACATAAGAGCGATGGAAAAAGGGGGAAAGGCATGAGGATAAAGATGGCAACAGCAACAGTAGGTGGTGGATGGATAGGGTGAGATGGAGAGAGAGAAAGGTTGAGGAATGTCTCTGTTACAGAGGATTGTGCTGACATTGATCCATCATTAGTGCCCTCCCCGCAGGAGACAGAGAGAGTCAGAGAGAAACACGAGGACTCGCATGACATGCAGAGAGACTGCGAGGCGATCACTAAGCAAAAAAGATGGAAAGCGCGACAGAAAGAGAAGAGGAGAGGTGACTGCTTGTCTCCTCTGGTTTCCTCAGATGTCTTTTTCAGAGCACACTGTATGCACCTGCTCAGGAGGCGCACACACACACACACACACACACACACACACACACACACACACACACACACACACACACACACACACACACACAAGCACCTTTGGGTATTTGACAAATTTAGACAGTCTTTACTTTCCAGGGGTAGATTGTGCAGACCTGCTGTCGATAGACATACACAGAGCGTACATACAGTATATGTGTAACCTTCAGAGTGCATGGTTGTGTGTGGATTAATATTTAATGCCTGATGGGTGACAGTGCATAATATTATGTTGTCCTTAAAAAAAACTGTATTTGGTGTTCAAAATAAAAAATCTTTGAAAGGATGATTTTAAGCTTTTCAGTGCATAATAATGAATAATGATTTGGTTTTCATCTTCAGCATCTGAATGGCTATTTTGCCTCACCATCATCGCCAGTCATCTCAAAAATGTGTCTGAATTTTGTTTCCAGTTAGCTTTGGCAGCATGAAGTCTGCAACAGAGGACACTGATAAGCTGAACAGGCCCCAAAACTCAGGTAACAAAATCCACCCACCAGCACCTCTAAAAAGTTCGCTAATCAACATGTTATTTCTTGAGGTTGCTGCACTATTTCTTGGCCAGGACCAGTTGCCAGGCAACCGGAGGACACTCCAGAAAGTTAACAAGACATAGTTGGGCACATACTCAACAAACAAGACATAACGTATTCATCTATGGATTTTAGAGGTGCTGATAGGAGGATTTTGTTGCCTTTGAACACAGCCAGGCTAGCTATTTCCCCCTGTTCCCAGCCTTTATAGTAAGCTAAGCTAAGCAGATGCTGTAGCTTCATATTTACTGTACAGATGTGGGTGTGGTTTCGATCTTCATCTAGAGTGTGACCACATACTAATATACATGAGAAGGGACAACAAAAGAGGCTACTGGGAAACAACACATCTAAATATATACATATACTTACAATAAGACCTGTCCTCTTTCGAGCACACAATACGCCACACATCCCGCAGACCAGAAACTGGAAATAGACAGAGAGAGAACAACAATTGAGTAAATTAATAGTTTGAAAAGTTGCAGTTAGTTTGTCATTAAGAAGTCAGTTATTCAGATGCAATTTTCTCCCTCCAAAAATAGATTGTGTCATCGTGGGCGTCTAGGGGGACGCCATGTTGTCCTGGATGTCAACGATTCAGACTGAACTGGAACAGCACGGTGGTGTATTATACTGGCAGAGTGCACTTACAAGTGGGACAGCACAATGAGCTGCGAGCTGCATTGTTTTGCTGAGAGTGTTTGGGAGCAGTAGTGTGTATGTGTATGTGTATGTGTGTGTGTGTGTGTGTGTGTTGGCTTCCTCTCATTTTCAATCTAACTTTTAGTTACCTGTTATAGTTTTACATTAATTTATTGGTGTGATAGAAGGTGGAAGTCACCCCTTTAAGTTAAGCTTGAAGGTTTATTCTTTACCATTGTTATTTACAACTCAAGGTCCCCTTACTTGATTTCTTCCAAGGCTTTCAGCCCTATCATGCAGCCTTCATCAGTGGATGGAGTTTTCTAAAGTTTTTTTTGTCAAGATACTTTCAGTTAGTTTTCTTGATTGTATTGTTAGACTTTATATTACAGTTTACATTGAAATATGATTTTCTCAGTTTCACTTTTAAAATTTCCTAACATGTCTGTATCCTCTAATTTATTTAAATTGATACTATATAAATAAATACTATTGAAATTGGGACTGATTGGGACTTTTCATTTAGAAGTTACACACTACTGTTCACTGACTGTAACCAGATAATCTTCCAGTTATCAAAGGGTTGCCTAGTAACTCTGAACATGAAAAGCTCTTGAAATGTAGGCTACTGACAAATATCAGATATGACTTCACTTCCTTGTTTCAGCAGGACACTAAAATTATCATCAAAGATTGGTCAGCCAGTCTTAATGACTCTCAGTGCCTGAGTAGTCACGAGACACGGCTTGCTGAATCAGCACACAGCATTCAACAGCTATGAGGTTGAATGCACAGACATCACATTGCATAACACTTTTGCAGTGACTTCATACACAACACTATGGAGGCACACTCAAATATACAACCTATACAATGTGTTTTAGAAACTCCAAAAATCTTTCTTTAAGATTCAAGTTGCCTGAGCTCCAGACACTTAATTCTCAGCATCAGCTAAAAGACAGACTGTGATTCCTCTGCTGGAGCAGCAGCCATGAAGTAGCTGAATCAAGGTTATATATAGCTACTAAACTCAACTTTTTATTGCTCTGTAGCAATATCAAGACACTGAGGCACCGTACCAAAAGTAGACATATGCAGAAGAGTGAGAAGATGTCTAAGTGTGTAAAAGCTTTGACCATGCCATGAAATAGAGCAGCAATTCAAGCATGAATTAATGAGACTGATCGTTAGTTCCAGCACAGAGGCATCTAGTGGGCACAATGGCTGTGTGTGTCTCTCTAACATTGAATGCACAAACACATAAAGGACAAACATTTAGTCCACCTCCTGGGTCTTTGGCACGTATTGTGGAAAAAAGGGAAGGAGCCACAACTTGCGTCAGTTGTGGAGTGATTGATATTAGATAAACATCCCCCAGTATCAACAACAACAAAAAGCTTTTTACTGTGAAAACAACAAAAGGGGTGATATGAGTAACTTAACACAGTCTTTATCGGGAAGACATTAGAGGTTTTTAGAAAAAAAAATGCTGATTTGTATTCTGAGTGTTTTAAATGATATTTTGTCAAATGAATCTGAAATATTTCTAAGTTTAAAAAAATATATACTAGAACACAACTTCTAGGGGTAGGTTGATATCTTCCAGTCAAAATAAAACAATACTTAACCAAAGCAGAATAAATCATGCCTTTCCCTTTATAAGACAATCTACATTCATGTATTACCTTAATTGTAATACTTACTACATGGCCTACATGCAGCCTATAATGAATGTATCTAAAAAAAAACATTCCTCACAAAGGTAAGTCAAAATAGTAAAAAATGGCTGAAAAGATTGTTGAGTTTTAACATGTGCCTCTATACCCCACAACATCCCCAGAGATACTTATCCTCTCTGGAAGAAAATAATGAAAAGCAAGGATAAAAGTTGTGCAGGACGTACACAGAGTCCGCTCCAAACCGGGGACGCGTCGCCCTGCTGCGGCTTGTGCTGGCCCCGGACCCAGCTAATGCCCACCGCTCCCAGGACGATGCTCGCCACACCCAGGCCCACCTCCACCACGGACAGCAGGAGCAGGCTCCAAAGGATCTTGCGGCTGGAGCACATCCTGCCCCGGGCATCTCTCCAGCTCCAGCAGGAGGCAGACTGAGGGAGGAGAGAGGAGTTCGCTTCTCAGTGCTCCGAGGGCGGCGCGGCTCTACGGCTTCATGCCCGGCTGGAAAACAGCGGCTATCCGAACAAGTAGGTCCAAGTCGAGAAGAAAGGTTACAGGGAACCTGAGAGGTTCGGGTGAAGAGAGGGCGCTCCACTGAAGTTCCTCTGCTTGCTGAAGTGCCTGTGTGCCGCCTGGCGCTGTCCAGGGTACTTAAGCACCACTGCAAACACGCGCGCGCGCGCACGCACACTCACGATGCATGAATTAAGCCTCCGCCCCCATGTGGAAACATTCAAACACCACAGATGTAACATTATGAAGAAGTATGAGTATCCATGACAGCTCATTCAGCTGCTGATTAAATGGATTTAATTCCAGACTCTCGATCGGTTGAATAAACATATAAACTATGTGACTTACTGATATTTATGGCAATTTTATTTGTATAGCACCTTTTAACAACAAGGCAAATCTTCTTTACATCATGAAAAGGGCGGTTGGACAGGATATAAAACTAACAAAATCCTATTTATGCACTATTTATGACTTAAAACACACAAAAACAAGCTTAAATGGATTAAAATACAACAAAAAGAATTACAGTGCTGTGCAAAATATGACCACACAGCAGAAAATGTGATTTACTAAAAGCACTGCCCAACAGAAAAAGGTTAACTTAACTTGGAGAGCTGGAGCAGGTTGTAGCTTTTGTGGTGTGTTCCAGATAGGTGCATGAAATCTGAGTGATTCTTCAGCCATTAAAATTATCACTGCATTGGAATAAAAAGAAACTCTCAGCAGCTGCAAAGGTTTTATATGCAGCTTTTACAGGTCGGGACTGGCTTTGTCTTTGGGTTACTTAGGGAGATGACCGCCCCAAAACAGACTCACAGATATACTACATTGTTGTCATAGCAATTTAGACATGTGATTCCATTTAATTGTGAAACTGAATTACATATTGTGCCTCATTTACAGACTCACATGACAAAAGGAGTTATCCAGGCCTAGTTCAAGTAATTGTAACAGTGGTGTCTACAGTCTTTTATTGCTAAACAATGCATCATCTCATCCAATCTTACCTCCTCCTACAAGTCATGTTCTTGTTTCAAGTTCTAGTGCCAGACTCCCTCAACACTTACTTATGAAATCCCATACCAACATCATTTCTGGTTTTCGCTCCCCTCCCCTTCTTTCCTGAGGGAAGCTTTGGTGTAATTATGTTAACTTAATGATGCTGAACACCAAATCAGATCTGGATGATCCTCTGTAATCTTTACTCCATATCACCTCATAAATAGTTAAGCCACCTGGGATGTTATGAGTCACTACTTTCATTTGGGGTCACCAGGTAAAACAGGAAGCAAGTGACTCATTTACTGTAAGCCAAGGGCGTCACTTTCTGTTGAAAAGTGGTGGGGACATTTAAGGGCTCAGATTAGGGGTGTGACGAAACACTTGGTCCACGAGATGCAATAATGCATATTGGAGTCACGAGAACAAGACAACAAGATAGTTATATGTAATTTATAATAAATATTCATTGATGCAATTGGCTATTTGGTTGGGGGGTTCTCCCCCAGAAGATTTTGAGCATTAAACCCTTAATTTCCTGCATTCTGGAGACATGTCTGCACCAATTTATGGTGGAAATGTCTTTATTTATATGAAGGGGAAAAAAATCAGGTGGATTCAGCAAATAAAAATATTATAAAATATAATGCATTAATCAGTAGCTTGTTTTGTTAGCCTAAGTTGCTTTTTTTGGACAAGGCAGATCTGTTTCTTCTATATTTACATTGCATTTCATGTTTTCCTATTGTGCAAGTAAACCTTTCTCATATCATTGAAATTGTTATTTAACATTTCTAGTTGCAAGCTAATTTTCAGAAGACCTTTAGCAAGTGATTTCAAAACAAAGGGGACAAAATTAGCCATTTCAAAAAGTGGTGGGGACATCCCCACTGTAAATGACACCTATGCTGTAAGCCAGTCTGTTTGGTACCATATGGCTTAAATTTGACAAAATATTCTCTGAAAATGTTTTACCTCTGTTTGTATATGGAAAATAAGAAATATCAGTAACAGTATGGTTCTGGGTTTCCACTGGGTCTGCAATATGAAATATTTTAGAAAAGTCAAATATCCAAGAAGCCACAAACTAAACATGCAAAATCAAGCATGACAAGCTATCTAGAAATTAGTGTGAGATATACTCTAAATATAAACTTAATTGCTGTCATAGGGTGCATCTAATGAACAGTGTTGTCATTACATTTAATATTAATAATACAAAAAAGTTTAATAACATTTAGATCCATTATAATTATTTGTCATCGTGACAGTAATCACTTACATACTAACTTCAACATTCTGGTGTTTAATGGAGGGAATTAATTTTTTTGATTTGTAATTCTTGCAGTGTTATAAAATAACATTTAAAAAAAGAATTCAGCAGCAACATCTCTTTCCAGAAACAGAGAACACATCTTACAGGATAATCTATGGAACACACTGAAAATTAAACCAGAACAATGTGCATGTCAAAGAGCCACCAAAATAAAATGACGGTCAATTTCAGAAATTGGACCCTTTAATTATTTATAATGCGCACAGGATGATAGGTCCGAATACAGTTCAGTGAACAGTACAGCTCCAAGGCCCCTGTGTTTCAATCAAAACATCTTCTTTTATATCACTTTACAAACTCAAGCAAACTTAAATGGCTTTAAAACATGAGTCCGTCATGATTCGTCTTGTTGCCTCCCCAGTCCTAGTATGTTCTGTCTGTTTTCCCTCTCCCTTGTGTTTTTGTTTTATTATCTGTCTGTCCTGTGTTGAGTGGGTGTGGTGCTCCTGGCTCTCTCTCTCCTCATCAGGACACCTGTGGCTTCCTACTCACCTGAAGCAGATTCAGCAGTCACCACTGCTGTCTAAAGCCCCCGGCTTTCCTACCAGTCCTTGCTAGATTGTCATTTGCTATGGTCAGCCTTACAGTTTTTTTCTTGTGTGCCTTTTGTGGTTTAGATCTTAGCTTGGCTTTTTGTATTTTTGCTCCTGCTCCAGATACCTGCTACAGTCCTAGAAGCCCAGCCTGCCTGCCTGCCTGAACCTAATTGCCCGCTCTCAGTCCCAGTCTCTCAGAGGATTTCAAAGCACCATCACTACCTATTGTTTAATAAAACCTCTGTACCTGTTTCTAACCTTGCTTCCGTGTCTGGTCCTGAATCCTGGAAAGCCCAGCCTAACAGAGTCATTTGAATTGAGGTTGGTGTAATCTAAATTCTTATGCTAGCAAGAAGCTTTGCTGCTCCCTGTGGAAATATATGCACCACTGTCTTGTTGATGTCATGACATCTACAGTTACATTCCTAGCAATCATTTATTCTTTGTACAAGTGAATAGAAATATGGACAATGGCCCAAAGTTACAAACTGTTCATATTTATTGCTTTTGTTGTTTAATCAAAGTAACATTCATAAAGGTCTTTACTCTCTTCTACAACAATAGATGCTGTCCAGTGGAAAACTGAATATTTGGTGTATTTTTAGTGTTGCTTCGTGGTTTGAGGAAATTCTCCTACTCTGCAAAATAAACCATTTACATAAATAAACTATGAGATTTTTACTGGACTACAACGACATGCCTCACAACATTATATTACCAAGTACCTGTGTAGAGCCAAATGTTATATTTGTAACAATAAGAGTATTTCTCTGTACAGCATGATTCTAATTTGCCTTTTTAATAAGGAGGAACAGAATCACAATAAGAGCCACTTATGAAGATCAGATTAAGCTCTGCACTTGTTCATGTGCGCATGATGACAGGCCTTGCAGATAGCTTGTATCCTTGGTAAGATGACCTCTCACAGTATAGTTTGCAGCCAATTAAAGAATCTCATGTAAGCCTCGTTATCCTCATCCAGCATCAGGAGGAAGTCAGCCAGTGTTGTGGCATCAGTAAAGTCATTTACATGAATGAAGGAAGTGCCTGGGGCAAAATACTCATAGTTCCCTCTCAGTGGGTCCAAAACTATCAGCACAGTGCCAGCTGCCAGAGATCCATTGAACGCTTCTGTAATGTAATCTCTGTGAATTAAATTCTGTAAGGAAAGGTAGAATTTGCAGGTCCTGATAGGCAGGAAAAAGTACTCACTCTTCAAAAGGAGCCATAAAAGATGTCCACCTTGATGTGTTTCACAAGCTCACTGTAGTTGAATCTCTCTTATGATTTTGTATTGAGATCATTGCTATCCGCAGTTCAAAAAAGCAATAATTCCTTCTTCTCTCTGTATTCTTCTTGACAGTCACTTGCCAACAAATGTGAATATCTGCATCCTTCCTGTAGATCAATGCCCTGCTATCTTATGTGTGTTGGTAGGTGAGTCAGATTTAAATCAGATCTACCTCTGAAATCTGGCTCTAGGTGACGAGGGAAGGTTGGAGAAGTAATCGTGGGTAGGTCTGTGAAATACCAAAACTCTATGAGCTCTGGAGAATAAAGATCTGCCATCTGTGAGGTGGCACAGTCTTGAAAAGCAATCATTTTGTTTTTGGCCAGAACCACAGCAACATTACAGGCTTGTCTGTCTGTTGTGTCAGTGGTGTTTTGGGATGTTTTGTAAAAGTTGGCCCGCTTTGCCAGATGCCCTGAATGAGCTGGAGGAGGATGACATTTTGGAGATGGAAATTACTCATAGTACATTAAAAACATAACTATGATTCCAGCCAGGACGAAAATAACTGTCAGGGTAGCTCGTAAACCCCCCCAAAACTGGAATGGAAGCCATATTAAACCTGCAAGGAACAGAATACCGTGTACAATTTGCACTGGCAACACATTCCCTCAGCAAGAGAGTTTAAATGAGTCCAAACTTGCTGTTAAATCAAAAGCAGCAAAGCCATTTTGGAATTCTTGTCTAATTTACTTCTCTCCAAAATGTTCAACTATTCCATTAAGACTGGCAGTTTATCTCATTTTGGCCATCTTATGACAGCTACTTTAACGGCAAGATGTGGCCAGAATAATCAAGTATATTGTTTAAAATCTGTGTGTTAATGTGGATGTGTGAACAGCTATTATTGGGTTTTTCATGAAGAGTACCTTCTACCTAGGCCATGAACTATGGAAAAATCCTGGTCTCTTGACATTTGCTCTCAGGCAAGGCAGTTGGGCTGAATGAATTCTTTGCTGAGTTTATTTAATAAAGCACCTTACACAGAACAAGTCACAGAGTGCTTTACAAGAGTAAAATAATATAGTGTCATATCAATAGAGCCAACAATAAAACAAAAGCATCAATGTAAAATAGTAGCTTTATAATAATCATTAAAACACAAGCAACAACAACAGAAAACAGTAAAATAATCAATTAAACATAAGCAGCAACGTTTTAAAATTCACAGTCAGTCAATAAAACAGGCAGTAACGGACCTTAAAATACATACACTTGCATTCTTTAGATAGTGCATGGCAAGACAAAGGCCAGCTTAAATAAAAGAGTCTTCACCTGTTAAAAAGACTGCAGAACGTAAGTCTAAGGGAAGAGCATTCCACAGTGTTAAAGCCACCACTTGAAATACACGACCACCTGATGTTTTCAAGTGAGCACACAGAAGAACTAGTAAGTCCATCCATCTATCCATCCATCGTCAACCGCTTATCCTGTGTACAGGGTCACGGGGGGGCTGGAGCCAATCCCAGCTGACATTGGGCGAAAAGGCAGGGTACACCCTGGACAGGTCGCCAGTCCATCGCAGGGCCACAACTAGTAAGTCCTGGTTTGAAAACCTAAGTGGCCTAATGGTGATCTACAGTTGAAATGGGTCGGAAATGTACCCAGGTGCATGACCAAGAAGGGCTTTATATGTGAAAACGAACACCTAAACTGAATCATGAACCTGACAGCGAGCCAGTGTAACAATGACATTAATAGGTGTGATGGGACTTGTCCTGCTAGACCTGGTCAACAGCCTTTCAACAGCATTCTGGACCATTTGTAGACGGTCCCGAGATGACTTGCTGAGGCAGGTGAAGAGGGAGTTGCAGCAGTCTAACTGGGATGAAATGAATGATCATCTCTAGTTCTGGTTGTGGCATATCAGGTTTGGGTCTGGCAATGTTTCTTAAATGGAAGAAACATACGGGTCAAAGATTTGATATGTTGATCAAAGTAGATTGTAAGTAGATTGGTCAAACACCAAGATTCTTGAGGATTGACTGAACTGTTGACGAAAGTTACCCAATACGCTGAGCTGTCATGGAAGCTATGCTATCGTATGCAACAAAAAGGAATCTTATCTGTGTTAAGCTATAAAAAGTCCAGTCCTTAATGGCAGTAAGGCAGTTGTTCCATAACTTGGACCACTCAGTCAACAGATATGATGAAATGATTGATTAACGAAACAGAAAGATGTATGAGGCTTGCAGTTGCTGAATAGCATTGTGGGGAAACTGCAAAAGGGAAATCCGCCATAGCACCCAGGCATGACGGACCCCCTATAAACCTATGGAGAGGAAGAAGGAGATCAGGAGGCGGGACAGAGAAAGGGGTCAAGGGGAGGGATGCAGAATGCCAGAGCGAAGAAGAAGAGGTGGGAAGTGTGGGAAGTGTGGGTATTTATGGAAATGCTGGCAATGATGTGATTGATGTGTGGTCCTGCTCCTGAAACTCTGCTAATTAGCTCAAAATTTCAGCTTAGAAATAGGCCTATACACTGTTAAAACTGTTACTTGGATCTAACTCAATAAAATTAAGACAACATTTTCCAACTATTTTTTTCAAGTTTAGTGAACTAACTGATATTTTGAGTAAAGACAACTTAATAATGTGAATTTCAATGTATGCAAAAATATTAAGTAGCATTTTCAGAAAAAGCCAATAAATTGAGTACTATCAATGTAGAAAATATCATCATTTTATACACATTAAACTTAATTAAAATAGGTAACTTAAATGAAAAAAATAAGTAGATAATGTTCTGATTTATTAATTTTGATCAATTTACCCTCTTTGTTTTGAAAGTGTAAATAGCTTCAAATAAATAGTTGCTACTATGTCAATTTCCAACATTTATTAAATCATTGCCATATCCAAAACAGTAGCAATGAGCTGGACAGTATAAACATTGGTATTCAGGCATTCAAGAAAACATGCCCTCAGCAAATAAAGTGCAGGTTAGTGGAACACCTTCACAGTACAGTTCTGTGTACATAATGTTACAAAATTTAAAAATTTAAAATTAAAATTTAAAATTAAGTAACAATTTACAAACCAAATTCAAAATGAGCTGGATAGTGTTAACAATCAATAACATCTATTCATGCATTAAAAAAAGCATGACCTCAACTTATAAAGTGCAGGTTAGAAGAACACCTTCACAGTATATTTTACTATGTGTACATACATAATATTAAAACATTTTAATATCAAGTTAACTGGCACTTGCTATTTTTTTAACAATTCACATGCCATATCCAAATAGTGGGAATGAGCTGGACAGTATAAACAATCAAGAACTTCTGTATTCATGTATTAAACAAAATATGACCTCAGCTTGTAAATAGTAGGTTAGTAAAACACCTTAAAACGATAGTTCACTTCAAAATGAAAATTCTGTCATCATTTACTCACCCTCAAGTTGTTTTAAACCTGTATGAATTTCTTTCTTCTGCTGAACACAAGGAAGATATTTTGAAGAATGTTCTTCCATAGTCTTTTTATTTTTTTCTAATATGGAAGTCAATGGGTCCAGTTAACTGTTCGGTTACTGACATTCTTCAGACATCTTCCTTGTGTCCTGTAGAGGAAAGAAATTCATACAGGTTTAAAACAACTTGAGGGTGAGTAAATGATGACAGAATTTTCATTTTGAAGTGAACTATCCTTTTAACAGTACAGTGTGAACATAATATTGAAACATTATAACACTAACATTACAGGTCACAAGCATGACCATCTGACCTCAACTTGGCATAATACCTTCACAGCGTGTGTGAATATTTTGAAACATCTTTAGTCAAACATCTCACTGATCTCACCTACTGACCAGTTTTTAAAGTGCAGCTTCACAGCAGGTCTATTTTGTGTGTATAAAATATAATTACTTTTTCACACCAGGAAGTATGACCTGTGTACAGTATAAAACATGACAAGGATAAACCATTACAACACCCTGAATGTCCAATTATGTCCAATATAACATTGGACATAACACCCATTATGTCCAATGTATAATGATGTTGAACAGACAAAGAAAACAGCTGTTCACAAGTGCAGTGACAGTCATGTCTGAGTGCCTAGGCAAGGAGTTTGTTTTTCAGGGTCATGAACTTGGGGCTTGGTTTTGGGCGCAGTGTGTCAAGTCCCACGAAAAGTCTTTGAAACACCTCAAATGTTTTGGAAAGCTTGGATGGATACTCAAGATTGAGTGCATATGTCAACCCAAGCAGGAAGCAGCATGCTTTGGCCAGGTTTCCAAGATTGGTAAGGACTGGTATTCCCTCAATGATGATTCCTACTGCATCTGGCTCACGGCAGACATAGATGCTCATGTTCTTAATTTTCAGGTCCTCATGAACAATGGTCTCTGCGGCCCCCTTTTGAGATACAAGATAAAGTATTTAAGACAAACAATCTCATTTATTAAGAAAAATAAATAAATGCATAAATAATCCACTACCTGCCAAATGCTGGTTCATTCAGTTCACATTAAAGGGAAACGCTTGCCAAAATTTAACCTAGGCTATTTTTGTTAATCTACCAGAGTCATTCTTTCTTGTAAAAGCATAATTAGAATGGAAATGCCACTCTCAAGATTGACTTTTTTCATATGAAGTCGAAATGCCTTTTGAATGCTAGGGGCACTACAATGATGGCATAAAAATCACTATTTTTAAAACACTAAGAAGGCTCAACACAACATGAAACTGTACTTGAAGTGTCACCAGGGGCTCTACACATGGACTCGAGCATTGACAAAATTGTGTACCGTATTTTCCGCACTATAAGACGCACCTTCAATGAATGACCTATTTTAGAACATTTTTCATATATAGGGCGCACCGGATTATAAGGCGCATAAGATACTGCAGTCAAACGTTTGACTGGGTTTGCGTTATGCATCCACTAGATGTGCCAAAGGGAATGTAGCGAATGCGCGGCACCGGAGGTGAGGCGTTTTAGTAAGCGTGAGCGCGCTGGGGCAGGCACGTAACTTGCATTCGCAGCCTGACTCATGAGTATTCATGTGCGGCGGCTCGCTGACAGCAACAGCAGGCTGTTTGAATGAGACGACCCGGTTACTGTGAACAGGGAGCGCTTTATGAACATTCTGTGACGCGCGAGCAGCGCGGGGGACAGTGTGTCTGTTTGTGTGTCTGTTAGTAAGAGTGAGCGGTCACGTGACTTACACACATAACATGATTTATACGAGGTTGAACTGGCCGTGTGACAGAGCGGGCATAAGATGGACACGAGCGCGAGTTCACGGGCGAATTTAATAACGCAGAGCGTTATTAACCAATTGATTCATATGTAAGGCGCTCCGGATTAGAAAATTAAAGGCTTTTAAGTGCGCCTTATAGAAAGGTTTTGTACGACTCACTTTATCAGTGGCGGCTGCTGTTTCGTGTGCCTATGTGACATAGGGCCAGTCATTTGTTTGTGTCTACTAGAGTGCCAACCTGTGAGGAACTCTTAAGACAACTGATGTTTAGTTTTATGTGTCGCCTGGACAAGTCAGTGATTCATATTATTTAAGCGCTAGTTAATCCCTGAAAAGCTGTTATAGACACACTTCTAGGTTAAGACAACATTGGTGCAATACCCTGTAGATCATACATACATACATACATGTTTGTGTTTCTGGTAGCTGGAATTTTGTCAATCTCCAAATGCAATGCAACATGAGGAGAGTAAAGATGGAAAGCTCCTAAAGTTTGTTTCCATATAAATTGCCATGAGCTAAGTTATCATGCTTTTTATTGGAATTACAAGTTCATGACATTTCCTCATATGTAGTTCATTACATTCGGAGATCGAATACTTTTGACTGTCAAAATTCTAGCCACCGTAAACACTAACTGATAATGTGAGTCGCACAAAACATTTCTTTTTAGTAAACTGTGTGTACACAAACAATGTTGTCAATGCTCAAGTTCATGTGTAGAGCCGCTTGTTTTAAAACTAGCGATTTTGATGCAATCATTGTAGTGCCCCTAGCACACCCATTCAAAAGGCATTTTGACCTGAAAACGAAAATACGGTCAATCTTAAAAGTGGTATTTCCATTCTAATTATGCTTTTACAAGAAAGTATGACTCTGGTAGATTAGCAAAAATAGCCTAGGTTGCAATTTGGCAAGAGTTATCCTTTAACAGTCCGCACAATTTAAACATGTTCACCAGACTGACCCAAACCTGCTTTGAGACAATACTTACACAGTAATCCGAGATAAGCTCCTGTCCACTCTCTCCCATATACTCAAAGAGGCATCTCAGAGTGACATCTCTCTTCTTCACTGTAGTGGCACTTGGGTCCTAGTTAATAGAACAATAATGAATAAATTATTTTTGTTGGTAAATTCACTCCAACCCTGTAATTACTGTAGGTCTGTATTATTTTTTCTTTTTTATTCATTATAATATATTAATAGTAATAACACGAGACAATTTAGAAAAAAACTGGCTAATTAACAAAAAAACAACAACAAAAGAAAAACCACCCAGATAAGCAAGATGCTGAAAAAACTGAAAAACAAAACCACTCAATTGATTAATATCGTACCTTAACTTTGTAACCAATTTTTCCCTACCTGTATCAGATCCATCAACAACTTTTTGATGCGTTGACCAGTTGCTCCTCCCTTGGCACTAAAGAGTTCTAGGAGCTTTGGGGTGTATTTGTCCAGCTGTGACATAAACGTCGCTTCCAGGGAAACTGCAGTACATCTTCGGAACTCCTCGTTTACCTGTAAGACAGCAAATGTTTGACTTATTTAAGGGGGTTTAAAGATTAATCTACTATCTCATGTCCAAGTCACAATTTCTAAAAAGTTCTCAGAAGTGAGTAGTGTCAGCAAAAACTGAATGATAAGTCACTTACCTGGAATGGTTCGAAGAGGGCAGGCCATCTTTCCTTGAATTCTGCCACACCAGGAGACTTGGTAATAACTTCCTGTCTTCTCCAGCTGTATGTTATGGCCATCATATCATTTGTGCTCCTGACAGAGTCCTTTGACTGATGGGCAGCAATTAGGTCAAGTCTCAGATTCTCAAGGGTGTCATCTGTTTCACCATGTGGGTGTGAGGGCAAGTAATTCACCTCTGCCCTCTTTGGTTTCTTGACATTTTTAGCGGCTTTTGCTCATCACTTGACTTGTTTCTCAGTGAGTTTATCAGGAGTTCAGTGCTTCCAAGTGCTTTCCGTTTTGTCCGGTAGTTTCCACACTTATACTTTAGGCTTACCTGCCACCCATAAATTCCATTAAAAGATCCGGGCTCCTTTAAGCAGGGATGCTTTGCAACTAGTGCCTCTGCCACTGCACATCTCTGGGCATCATTGGGGTAAGCTGTGTAGAAAAACATGGCCTCTGCCAGGCGCTCCAGGATGTCTGATTTGATACTTGGTGATGTCATAGGGGTGCCATCTCTTAAATAAATCTCATTTCCTTGTCTTAAGGCCAGTTCAGTGTTGTGTGAGAAGGTTGGAATTGGAAACACAGCAGGCCATGGGCTCTGCCTTTCAGAGGGGGATGGACTCGGAATGACGGTATCCACTGAGTTCCCACTGAGACTCGTACACTCACAGAGAGAGCTGACATCAGAGGCATCTGGGGTGCTTTCCTGGGGAACAACGGTCAGCGTCAACTCCAGCGGTGTATACACAACTTTAAGTGTGCACTTATCTTTCAGCTCATTGGTAGATGTTAGGGTGAAGAAGTCATCAAATTCCTCATCTTTGTATTCAAGACTTATATCTGTGGGGATGGAAAAATGTTCTTTGACAGCTGCAACCAACTCATTCACAGTTGAGGGCATGCCACTGCTGAGAGTGAGCTTCTTGATTTCATGATCGATGAGGACCCGGAATCTCACAGTTTGCTCCATTTCTAAGAAGAGTTATGTTGGAGACAGATGTGGCGCTTCAATATCACCATTTGCTTTCCTGCAACAATATAGGCAGACAGAGGATATACATCAGTAAGGCATCGTTGCTCAACGAGAGTTATGTGGTCTGTCTTCTCCAGATAATATCCGCGATAATGTTCATCAAACCAGGATATCTGTGTTCTCACAATAAAATACACTCTTTCCTCGATAAGTGCAATTTGAAGAATCACTGCAAAATCAGGAAGACCTGCAGTAGAACCAAAGGCCACAATCATGCCTTTTAAGTACCTCGATCCCTGATAGGTGACTGTGTCAGCCAGCTGAACATGAGACTGAGAAGGAGATATATGCCTGATTGACTCCTGAACATTTACATGTAGGACATCCACTGGAACTGATGTTACTCTTACAACACTAAGAGCAGGCAAAACTGTTGTGGAATGCAGGTTGTGGCTTATCATAAGCTGGTGCTTTGTAGCCAGGGACAGGAGAATGTTCTTGAAGTTGCCAGTATGCCTTACAATCCGTTTAAACTGGCTGTGTTTTGCGTCGAACCGCATCGTCCAGAAAGCTATAACTGGTCCAAAAGCTTTTATCAAAGCAGGATAGTGCTCTAAAAAGTGGTGCTTCGGGATTAATTCTTCATTAGGGAACACTTCCTGGAATCTGTGTCGGTGTTCAGAAATTTTTGAGTCAAGATATGCAATGCTTTCCTCATTATGGACTGGACCCACAACAAGCTCAACAATGTCTTTTAAAGACATCAACAGAAGCCAGGCTGGATCACTCAAAGGTATTTTGTGTCCAATAATGAATGGCAACAGTCGTATGAGGGACCAATTTTCATGCGCGTTTCCTCCAATCTTGTTTCTTGAGGAGAAGGTAGCAGGCACTGGCTGAGGAGAGTTAGTTTTGTCAGACCACTTATATGGAAACTGTGAAATAGCACTGTTAAGTTCACTAAATGTGAAATATTTCTTAGAAATAAAAACACTGAAGCACAGACCCAGTTCTAAGGGAACAATCCCTTCAAAAACGTCATGTAATATGTCAGGTGGATAGCCAGTGACACAGTGGAAATAGCTCAGATTTTCAGTCAATGGACAAGCCTTTTTAACACCGAAACAATGTGTCAAGGCAGGGTTTTCTTTGACAGTCAATACATGAGTTGCATGTGCTTCTTGGGTGCGAGCCGGAAAGGCACCAGACCTCACCTCCTTTATCTGATATTCTGATCGCTGTCCAAGACAAAATCTGCAAATGAATGGACCAGAAAAGTTTTCCACTAATCCACAAATTGAATGTGCCCCAAGATTGTCTGCTGCAACGCAAAACACACTTCCTTTCACATTTTGTCCTACTGAGGAAATGTAGATGCCGTCACGCTCCAAGATAGCAATGTCTTTTAACAAAGGGGCAAGCACTTCCTCATAACCAAATCTTTTGATGTCCACTGCTTTACATAAAAGGGCCAAGTACACAGAGCTCAGAGTTGACCGAGATGAGTGTGGAATGTTGCCAAACACCCAGTATACAGCTGTAATCTTGTGCTTCTTTCTTGAAGTTCCCAGTGGATTGCAAATTTCGAAGTCATCAATGTACAGTACAAGTGTAATTCTTAGTTCTTCAGAATAAAAAGAATTATCTTTATAGATTGTACCGTCTTGATATGATTCATATTTAGTAGATGGCTTGTCCTTTTCTTTACTCAGAACTTTTTCTCGAAGATCTTCTTTACCCAAAATATTAATCAAAGACTTAAGAATTGGAATATACTGGAAACTTCTCTTCTCATTTGGTTCAAGGACATACTCAACAGGCTCAACAACTTCAAATTTTTCTGTATAATACTTCCGTCTCTTGAACGATGAGGATAGAGGACCAGCACTACTAAGTGCTGAGCTTAGGGGATTGGAATTGCACAATTCTTCACAAGATGTAACAACAGTGTCATCAATGGTTTGGTTATTTTTCTTAAAATGTGAAACAATGATACTTTTAACTGAAGATATGCATGCAGAATTTGCTATGAAGTGAAGATCATCAACCAATTCATCAATGCACCGAACTGAAACATTATGAACACTCTAATTTCAACAAGAGGGATGCTATATACTCTACAACTACACTGCTTCCATCTTCCTCTTCATAGTGTGCATTAGTGCTACTGCCTTCATGATTAGCATCATTGTGGACCTCATCCTCTTCAGAGGCTTCAAAATCAAGTGCTTCCTCGGGTAACCCACAAATAATCCCTGGTTTGAAATCTTGTGATGTATATGGAGTATGCTTTCTGTGTTTGTGTGTTGCAAACGTCCCATACACATTTGTTTGGTGATCACATTCTATGAAGACACACTTAACAGTCTCGTTATTCTTGAGATGGTGACCTATATGCTCAAAAAAATCCTTTTCGTTGTTAAATCCAGGGTTTTGACACAAAGGGCAGGTAAATGAAAGACTTACTTGTGGTGAGATGAAGGATTTAGCTTCTGGGTGGTATCTTGAGAGGTGAGAGCGGAAGGAACTCCAGGATTTAAAAGAACATGGGCAATCTATATGAATACAAGGCAAGGCATGGCTGTGTCCAAAAGTCCCATGATGCAGTCTATAATGCTTTAAAATGTCACTTTCCTGGTACCACAGTGTTGCACAATTTACAGGGCCATCCCATCTGTCAATAAAAATAAATAAAGTTAGTTACATCTAGCCTTTTGAATACAAGCCTGACAAAATCCATAAAAAAATACACTTAAAATACAAATGAAGATTATCCTGCTGGACAAGACAAGAATGGGTAACTTTAGTTCATCACAGAATTTATTTTAGAAAATAATCTGAAACATCATGTCAACCTCATGTCTAACCATCACAATTGACTAATTGTTAGGTTAGATAGCCTAAAATACTTGTAACCTCTCTTGCCAAAATATTAGTGGAACAACTGGAATGACTGCAAAGTGTGTTGGTGTGAGATGTGTGAATGTGCCACAGTCAAATACAAAGTTTTCCTGTTAAGACAAACACGTGTAAAGCACGCTGGATGAGGAGAAATGGGCCTGCACCTTGAGCACCACGGTTGAGGTGTGTTAACCGCGGGCGGTGTGGGTGTATTTCAGGCTATGTGCTAATCCACATTAGCTAACAGTGCCCACACTCATAGTTGCAAATGTTTGCTCCCTCATCAATGTGGTTTTGGTTAGATTGTGTGGATTGTGTACTCGCCAAAGTAACTGCTGCACTGGCACATTAACATTCATATCCAACCGACGATAATCAGTAATCACTTAACTTAGCTAACGTTAGCTGTGGCTACGTGTGTCTGTCGTAGCTTCGACAGCGTTGGCAGCGGACTCAATGTTTTTGAAGAAGTTACAAACACCTCTGAAACATTAAACTATCACACAAAGTCAACATTACTTATACAACGCGCACACACACGTAACGTTAGATTAATACAGTAATTTATGTGGCTCAAGTTAACAAACTGTTTGAGGTAACGTTAACGTTAGAGCACATTCGAAATTGGCGCTCTTCGACAGAGCGATTGTGCAGCACAAAGACGTTAATTAGGGTAAAATCTCACTTTTAACAACACAAAGAGTTACTTACATGAGGTACGTGAAGTATTATCCGGCTCCGTAGAAAACCCCGTTCGAATAAACTTCTGGAACAGACGAGAATGAAGGATTTGCCCGGGCTTGTTCTTCTGTTGCTGCAGGTAGTGGGCGGGTCGTGTCTTTTTACGTCTGATACGTCCATAAGGATACGTCTGATATAAACTTTTAAAATGAGTTTTGTAAAATCAATTTATGGTGAAGTCCAATTAAATTAATTTTATTATAGAAAATATTAAGTTACGAAAATATTCACACTTTTTTACTTTTTGAAAACTCAAAAAACAAAGAAAGAAAAATAAGTTAATTTATTGGAATAAATATAGTTTTTAAAATTAAGTTATAAGGACAATAGCACTGAACGAATTTTTACAGTGTAGTTTTTTTGGAGGGGACGGATCAAGGTTAGTCTATTTCAAAAGAAGTTGCACACTTCCATGTTGAGGGAGCTATTTATGATCGTGACCAGACAGGGCTTGAAGTGTTGCTGATTGTGGACTTTAG